CGTGAGAGATCCATCTCATATTCTTGAGAAGCCACCGGTGGAGATACGTGAAGATCTACAATATGCAGTGGAACCGGTAAAGGTTGTGGGTCAACAGGTGAAGAAATTGAGGAACAAGGAGATTCCTATGGTAAAAGTCCTTTGGAGGAGTGATCGGGTCGAGGAAGAAACATGGGAGACTGAGGTCTCAATGAGAGAGCAATACCCTTTTCTCTTCGATTAGACACGTGGATTTCGGGGACGAAATCCCAAATAAGGGGGGGTGAACTTGTAACACCGTCCCCAAATGTATTTACTTTTAAAGTGAATATTGTATTTTAACCTTATGGAATGGTTGACGAATTTACGAGGTTACGAATTTTTATTAATTTTTGCGTGAATAGTAAGTTCGCACGTGGGGCCCGCACTGGGAGCGGGGGCCGCCCGATATTTCCGGGACCACATAAATTATTCATCTTGGTCTAGATAATATTTATATGGTGGTGGATAATTCATTTGAACCATGGAAAGGTCTTGAGTTGACCGATTGGTCAAAAGAGGCCCAAATACCGGTATTGGCAATTTAACCGATAAAAGCCCGAAATTTAATTTCGGGGACTTATAAATTAAAATTGGGGAATGAATATTCATTATAAGGGTTATAATGATGGAGAACACATAATATATTTTATTTGACCCGATAAAATAAAATATATTTAAAACAGTCCAAAAAAATACAACTTTCGGGACCGATTGTACACTTCGGGACGAATTGGGATGACCTCCCACATAGGTGGGGGCCACCCCACGAAATTGTCAACCAAAAGGGGATTTATTGAGCTCAAAAGGTGGCTGAATACTCTTGAGTTGATGGAGGAAACATGTTTGACATGTAAGAGGACCCATCTCACCCATAATTGCCCAAAAGAAACAAAAAGAAACCCACCCCCTCCTTCCTCACTCAACCACTTCGGCCAGCACCAAGGAAAAGGGGAGAAAGAGCTCTGCAAACTCATCCTCCATAGCCAAGAACCGAGCTCAAGGAGGAGTAGCCCAAAGAAGGTGTTTCAAGAGGAGAAAAGCTAGGAAAAAGTGAGAAAAGTTGAGGTAATGGCCTTATCATAGCTTTTCCTTTATTTTTCTTCTACCATATGAGATATATATCATATGAAGAACATTGAGGATTGTTCCACATGAGTTAAGTGTAGAATGATGGGTTGGAAGGGGGTTCTAAGTCCAAAAACGGACTTAGGAGCCAAACCGACAAGTTCACCGGAAAATAACCTTTTAGAGGTTATTCGTATTGATTAAGGTTTTATGATGTTAAAACCTTGTTAGGAACTTGATTAAAGTACTTTGGAGCTTCGCCGGAGTTTCGCCGGAGTTGGTCAAAGTTCGCCGGAGTTGGTCAAAGTTTGCCGGAATTAGTCAAAGTTCAATCGGGAAGCGTAGAACGCGCTTAAGCTCGCTTAAGGTGAGGATGACCGACTATATTGCTTATAATCTTTGGGTTAATTTCATAAGATTACCTAAGATAATTAAATGTGATTTTCATGGATTATTAATGATTAATAATGCCTAATGAAAATATTGTTGTTTATTAATAGAAGATGCATAATATACAAATTTATGAGTAAATGGTGTATAGTTATGCATTGTAAGAATGATGATATGATGAATGTATAAATCATGAATTTTTGTGATGAAATATACTTTTACTTCATGTATAGAAATCATGAATGGATAAAAGTGATATTTTTGATATTGAGATTAAATCATATATAGATTGGGAAATTCATGGGAATGAGCCTTATAACTATGAATTAAAGAGCTTGGTGGCTTAAAGACAAATGGATTAGTATTGATTTTACTAGTCGGAAATGTTAGTATGAAAAGTGATAGAACAAACCCTAAGGGCTTGGATTGTGAGAGAGGTACACCTTAAGTAGTCTTATGAGATGTCTTAACGTAGAAATGGGTAAACGCTAAGTTACCGTAGGAGTAGGCCTCAAAGGCTACTCATAATAGAGGAACTCTAGGCATAGAACTTGCTTAGGGAACTAGTATCGTGACTAGAGGAAGCCTCTAGCACGATGAAGAATGACTGGAGGAAGCCTCCAGCATTCGTGTAGGACGACTAGAGGAAGCCTCTAGCGTAACGTAATGTGACTGGAGGAAGCCTCCAGCACAACGTATGTAAGGTGATTAGAGGAAGCCTCTAACACCAAGTGGAGTGACTAGAGTAAGCCTCTAGCACGACAAAACATGACTAGAGGAAGCCTCTAGCATGGTAAACTAATATAGATGGGTGTGGCTTGAAGTCACGGGGAAAGGGTTAAATGTTTTCAAAGTAAACATGGGCCTTCGGGTGACTACTTGACTTTATATATAAAGTAAGTATACTTTCAAAGAGGGTAACCACGGGTTATGACCTATAATATAATAACATCCTAAATTGAGGGTCTTTGAAATTGAAACTTTGATTATACTTAGTATAGTTGTCATTGTACTTGTCAAATGCTTCCAAGTACTGACCTCCCCTTCACGGGGGAGGCCACCTCACAGTTTCAGGTAGAACTTGAAGGTTGCTACCCTCGTCGTTGCTCCAAGAGAATTCAGGAGAAGAAGACGTGGTTCGTGCTTCCTCCGTTCCTGTTTTAAACTCATTTAAATTAATGCTCATGGATGTTATCTTTTGAATAACTATTTGATGGCTTGTATGCCCATGCTTCGCCAAGTGTGGCTTGAACACTTGTATTAAACGTTTCCGCTGTTTTCAATGAATATTTTATATTATGTTTGTTTATGGATGTACTATGTGTGAATGATATCCCAGACGCCTTGTATAGTATGAATGTGTTGGACTGCGGTTGACCATTCGTACTGTACGGCGGATTGTTGACGTGTCCGGGTAGGTCCGGGGCGTGACAGACTACCCTCTAAGAGGGCTTTTAGGGTACAAGGGATTCTGAAATGGGCTAAGGGAGAGAAGCCAGTAGATGTTCTAATTGATAGTGGAGCCTCACACAACTTCATATATCAAAAAATGGTAGAACAGCTAACCCTCCCTTATCAGACCATTGCTGGCTACAAGGTGCAGCTTGGGAATGGTGATAAGGTCTTCAACAAGGGCAGGTGTGAACAATTAATTCTGAGCTTGCAGGTAGCTGTCATTCAACAAGATTTCTACATGCTGGAGTTGGAGGGAGCTGACTTGGTTCTTGGCATGGATTGGTTGACCGGATTGGGGGATGTGGAGATCAACTTTCAGAAGCAGAGCATAAAGTGGCATCAGTTGGGGATAAGTCAGGCTATTCAAGGGGATCCTAAGTCAAACTCTATGGAGGTATCTCTGAAGACCACGTCACATATTGTACAGGAGACTGGTGTGGGCTATCTTATCTACCGGGAAGGCAGAAAATTGGATGGAGAGGAAATTCAGCTGAAGGATTTCAATTTGGAAGGAATTGTGGCAGAATTCTCTGAGGTATCTACTCCCAGACCAGGATTACCTCATCCTAGAAAGTGTGACCATGGTATTAACATTGAAGAGGGAGTAGAAGTAACTAAACTGAAATTTTATAGATACCCCCAAGGCCAAAAAGAGGATATAGAGGGGATTATCAAAGAATTAATACAAGAAGGAATTACTGGGAAGCAGAGAATAGATCAACCAGTTGAAGTTGGTTTGGGTGTTCTTGTAAGGGTTCAAACTGGTTTGTTCTTTGATCCATTTCGAGCTGCAACTCATAGCAAGTCTGCCTTAGAACCTTTATCTGAAGAGATGGGTTACAAGGAAGAGGCTTCAAGGGTAATTCCAGGAAATTCTTACACCCAATTTCTGCTCCTGTTTGCTGTGAAAGATGTGAAGATGAAAGGTCAAGTAATGAAGGTCATGGTCAAGCAAGCTGGGAGGTACTGGGAAGGGAGAAGTGCAATAATGAAGTGCAAGAGGAATATCATTGCTGACTCCTATCACCCACCTTGAGGGCAAGGTGGTTGTTCAGGGGGGGGAGTAATGTTAGGAATCTGCATATTCGGTATAGTGTTAGGGTATTTGAAAGGAGAATTTTAAGGGCTGAGGTCAACTAATTGGGCTGGGGTCAGTTATTGGGTCTGTTAATGGTTCTGTTTGTCTATTTCAGTCCCTGCGTGGACTTAATACTATAAATAGTAAGGTGGGTAGCTAATAATAGGTAGGCTGTCATTTATTGAATTGTTGCCTTGTTGCCGAAGAGTCCCTTGTTGCCTAAGTCCTGTTGCCTGTTGCCTACGTTGAGTCTATTCCTATCAATAAACCCTATTTTATCTATCAATCTATCATATCTACACTTGTTGTTTTACTGTATACTCAGATCTTGCTAGGTACCTAACATCTACAATTACTCCCATGCTTCCATACGTGTTTGGTAGTTATAAACTCAAACATTATTGCTAATATTTACGTAAACAATCTCATTTAATATAAACTATATAAATCGTGTCATCTCCTTTGTTACAATGTTATTGGGACGGAGGTAGTTCTTCCTCTATTTTTGGGGAGAATCTACTTTTGACTTTTGTCAATACCCAACTTTGATCATTAATATGTATAATTCTTTATTTAAAAAAATCATATTTGAAAATTTGCATTCCCTTAAATTTTTTCATCTTTCCCCTTTTATTTTTTTCAAAAACTTTATCACATTTTTTTTATCAATTAATTTGTGATTTCTGTTATTTCTTTCTCATATTCACAAACCTCAATAACACATTTTTCCTTTATTATGCTCCGTGTCAATCAAACTTGACAAAATTTAAGGGACGGATGGAGTAATAATTTTTAAAAAATAATTTATTTTTCTGTCTGTCCCGTTAAGATTATCTCATCTTTCATTTTTTATCCATCTCATTAAGAATTTAAGATTGTTGCATATAAAATTTGATAGATTTTGTGTGCTTCCTAAATCATTCTTTCTTTAATTTTAGTTTATCAATTAAATAACAATGACATCAACTCACTTTTCTTGAAAATTGCACCACTTTCACGTATTCTAATGTTAATAGGACGTAGGTAACGAGGCATCCTAGAGCGGCTCTCCTAGAGCGAGAGCATTGTTGTAATTTATGGCGTTAGGCTTTACGAGGCAGATGGGATTTGATGGCCACTTGGGCAGATAGGATTCAATCGCAACTTCTTACTTCATATATAGGGGATTCTAATAATGAAACTGTGAGGGTTTAAGACTGATTTAGAGATGCAGTCATCTATTGCTAACGGAGATGAAGATAGATTTCAGTTCGCCGGAGAAAGAGGATTTCTCCACCAGATTTTGTGGCGGACTCAGGGAGAAGACCTTCAACACTGGACGATGGGTTTCAGTTCGGAATTGAGCCATCAATCTTGTGTGTTGCTCATACCGTGGGGTGGAGGCTCTTTCGACACATCCTCCATGTAATCAACGGTGACAAGCGGATTCAGTGAGTTGTTGGGCGACGCGAGAGTTTTTGGTTGGTTGTATCAAAGCTTTCTTTCGCTTCTTGGGTGGTTTTCGGGCGTCATATGGAATTTGAGAATTTCTGGTGCAACCAGATAGGGGATGACAATTTTGATGCGGTTCTTCACTTACGATGGTTTCTCGTGCATAGAACATAGGCTTGCAACAGTTTTTTCGCTGACTCGAGACATCATGGGTTTTTATCCGCATGGTATGTTGTTGCAGGGGTCGTTCGCAGGGAGCAAACACGGACACTTTTGGGCTATCGTGTTTCGGCCGGAGAAGGAATCGACAATTCGTCAGTCGATGCTGAGAATACAGCTGGTGTACGGCAACTTCACGTGATTTTGCTTCTGATGGTTTTGGATTTTGTGGAGGTGATGGGTTTAATTGGGCTACGTATAATTGAACCACAGATGATGATGGGTCACCCATTTTTATGATGGATATTTAGAGAAACCCTTTCTTTAACTAGTTTTGGATGGAATCTTTTGTGTACTTTAAATTATGGGTAACATTTGGTCCCCATTTCCTTTTAATAAAATTTTTCGTTTATTAAAGAAAAAGGATGTAGGTAACGATGGTATGATGAACTGAAAATGATAATAATGAACGCATAATGGTAATAATGTACGCCATTGATTTGAAACTGTAGTCGTCCGTTCCCATATGGGGCGACACTCATTGGGGCAATGGAGTGGGAAATGGCCGGTGACTCCATGGGGCAGGGGCTGCAGACGCGATGACTGTGGCGGCGTACGACGCAGGGCGAGGCTCATGAATTGCAACGATGATGAGACTAATAATACACGATGGAGAAGAGATGCAATGTGATGTAGAAAAGAATGTGTGCCGGAGAAGAAGGTGTGCAAATGCCATGGAGAAAAGATTGTATCTTTTGTCTTTAATAAAAATGGTCCTATTTTTGTCAAGTAAAAAACTCTGCTCATATTTTTTCCATTTTTTCTAGTGATAATAGGGGTTTTCCGAAAAGAGTAAAGATCTTGTCAGTCTGGATTGACGGGAACTGCCGTCTAATCAAACCTGTGGATTTCTAGGTCGAACTTTTTATTAAATATATGTTTTCAATAATGCAGAACATTTCCATAAAATTTTTATCAAAAAAATCGATCGAAATGTAAATTGAAAAGTTATTAAAAAACGCTGCGCTTTAAAATTTAAATACGGAGTATGTAGTTAGAGTACCGTATTTTTCAAATAACTTATCCCCGTGTTTAACTCTCATAAAAAAACTTATTTAACTAATATTCTAATTGAATTTTAGGCCGGTCCTTTATTCCAAAATGTCATACGTAAACCACTTAGAGCATCTTCAATGATACAATGTGCACGGTGCACATGTGACATGAGAGCGATAGACACAAAAAATTGAATTTGTGACATTTCTCTCTCATTCTTTCCACGGTTTTATGTGTTTTTGGTAAGTTTTCCTCTGCAATGTCAAGCACAATGTCTACATCTAGACATTGTGCTTGACATTGTGAAGAAAAACTTACCAAAATGATATAAGATTCTTCAAATAAAGATAGAGATATTCTATTTGTTATTTTTAATTGGCTATCTCTCATGCCACGTATGCATTGTTCACTTTTTAGCATTGGAGATAGGGATGGCAATGGGGCGGAGGTTCACTCCCCCATCCCCGCCCCGTGTCTAAATAATCGCCCCCACCCCCGCCCCATCCCCCACCACTATTTGACCCGCCCCATCCCCCGCCCCGACCCGCTAGACCCACGGGTACCTAACGGGGGAAATATTCGTCAAAATATAATAACATTTTAGACCCTGAAAGTTTTTCAAAAATTAAACAACACTTCTAGTAGGCAAAAAATCTTTTAGATTTTATGTGTCAATGTAATCTTACATCCCATTTCAAATCTAGAACACATTATACGCGTGTTGATTTAGTCATTTTTTCAAACACTTTATTAGCATTGATTACCTCTATAATATTTTCTTAAACCCTGCATTCAATCAACCGCGGTCATTTTACGGCATCTAGGACGACCTATGGTCACCAGATTTTTAAGAGCCCTAACTACAATCATAAAGATGACATTCATAAGAAAAGAATCAATGCATAGTAATAGTAAAACAAGAAAACATTCACACTTTGCGAGGCGTTAAAGCTAATATCACTTTATAACTTTCCTAAATTCATTTTACTTTATGATTTTGATAACCAATTTTACAAGATAGCTGCGTCATTAAACAAGAATTAGATAGATCCATTAAGCACAGCCCATTAGATAGGAAACCACTAAACCCACTGGGCCACCATGTTATTTTAATTACTTCGTATTATTATTATTATTATTATTATTATTATTATTATTATTATTATTATTATTATTATTATTATTATTATTATTATTATTATTATTATTATTATTATTATTATTATTATTATTATTATTATTATTATTATTATTATTATTATTATTATTATTATTATTATTATTATTATTATTATTATTATTATTATTATTATTATTATTATTATTATTATTATTATTATTATTATTATTGTGATTATTATTATTAATTATTAATATGTGTATATATATACGGGGGACGGGGTGGGGGCAATGCGGGGGGTGCGTAACCCATCACCCGCCCCATATTTAAGCGGGGAGAAAATAATTCCCCCACCCCACCACCCGCCCCACCCCACCACCCGCCCCAACTCCCCCCATGGGGCGGTTCCCCACGGGTCCCCGCCTCCATTGCCATCCTTAATTGGAGATGCTCTTAGGGGTGTTTGGAAATTGGAACTGATTCTGCTTCTGATTTTTTTTTAGCAGAATCAGAATCAATTTTCAGAAGCTGCATCCCTAACTTCTGAAAAAACTGATTCTAAGAGTAAATTGGAGCACCAGAATTCTGCACTTTCACCCAAACACACCAAAGGAATCAGATCCAAACACCCCTTATTCACTGATTCACTTACGAAATTAAAAATGCCTTTTTGGATGCAGTTTCCATGTGCTTATGCTTCATACACCCTCCGTCCCTTAAAACTTTGCCAAGTTTGACAGACACGGAGATTAATAAAGTAAAAACTGTGTGGTAGATGTTTGTGCAGAGGAGAGAGAATTAAATGGAACCACAAATTCTTTTCTTAAAAGGAAAAGTGACAAAGTTAGTGAGACATCCAAAAAAGGAAAGTTGGCAAAGTTTTAAGGGACGGAGGGAGTAGTGTTTAGAACTATGAAGCGGTGATGTGAACGCGCAGCAAGCTATTTAACTGTAATCTGGTTTCAATTTCGTAGAGAGAAATGATGAAATCTGCGAAAGTTCTAAAAGACGTAGGGATCGGAATCAACAGTACAATTGTTGAATTGCTGGTCTGCCCGCTTTCTAAACAGCCTTTGAGGTCCGTTTTCCAACACAAGTTCATCTTTGATTGCTTCTTATCTCTGTTTTTTTGTGTTTATTTAATAATAATACGGAGTACCATTAATTTTGTTCTTCTATCCCCCGAACTCGATCTGCAAAAGTGCAATTCATTATTGACGGTGCGAAAATGAATGTAGGTTGTGCAAGAAAACGAATTCCCTTATCAGCGACTCCATCGGAGTCTCATACCCGGTAAGTGGTTTAGGAATTGTTTGTTGTTGCTTCAAGTGATTTAGGAAGTGTTTGTTGTCGCTTAAAATTTTGATTTTCTGTTTTTTGCTCAAAATAGTTAAAGTAGTGCTTTCCAGTGGTACATAACTTTAAATACTTCAAACTAAAGTTATAAGTGGGAAGAATTTTAAAATTATTTTTCACTTTTTCCACCCATTTTAAAACTGGCCCATACAATTTTTCACCAAGCAGTCTAACTTCATTTTTTTTTTTCAAAACCACTTTATTATTCAAAGAGTATCAACTACTCCTTTTAATATTAAAAATTTCCTCTATAATCTGTTAAATAAATCACTTCTCAAACAGCAGAATCAAATGCATACACTCTCTTAAGCTGTCAAGTTTAAATTTAGAGTCACTCAAGATCTTATAATCTTGCTTTGTGTTTATATATTTTATTTTATCTATGCCTTCACTTTAAAATGCACAGACTTTAATAAGTTTATACCAATTTTAAAAAACAAACACACTAACTCTGAGATGATTGTGTTCTTGATAAGCTATTCAAGTAATCCTGTATTCATCAGTTTCAGCAAAGATGCTGGCTCACTTTATGGTGTGTTGTTGTGCTCATTTCTTTAATGTAATTAGATACTGGATGGGGTTCCACATCTTGTTCCGGCAGATGGGAAGATGATTGAAACTAATGATGCTTCTAATTCGGACATTGTTCCTTCTGTAACCAAAAGCAACAATTGAAATGGTTGTACCTAATAAAACTTCAAGAGAGGAACTTGGAATAGTCTCATTGGTTTACCTCACAATAGATGAGATTAGATATCTGATCAGCTATATGCTACAAGTTATAATAACAATATTCTTATCTGGTATCAACTTACATATTATTGGCTTGTTCTGCCGAAGATAGGAGTAGCCTCTTTTGGTTTCTTACTATAGTCAAAGACTTGAGTTAATTGCGTTCTTAAACTGGAGTTATTCTGTGGATGGTATACAAGGAGGCTTCCATCTTCTCTAATGGCATATTGTAGTTGTGTTACTTTCGTTGTTTATGCTTCAATTTATCAAATTCTTTAGACAGAATGATTAGGTTTTGTTACTTTGGACAGACAAATCTTTGTGAAAGATTTAATTAAGAAGGGCGAAGAAAGATGGAAGCTTGCAACCGTAACTAATTTAGCATAGTTTCACCACTGATGAACCTTCGGTGTGATATTGTGTTGAAGTCGTTGAAGCCCAGAAGGACCGTACATTTGATCTGTAAAAACGACAGTGCTCTACAAAACTTTACCTAGGCTTTGTGTCTCCTTTGAGACCTGTTATTTTTTCTCATTTTGATCCTGCCTAATTGGCTAATTTCATCATTACACGTAAGGTTGCAAATTTCTAAATGACGTGATCTGGGAAAGTTCTAAAGAATCACTCGTGTCTTTTCATTTTCTTGTGCATAAACATTAAAGTGTTCCGATTGGAAATAGGGAAGCTAGTACACTTCCAGATTGGATGGTTTCATACCGGAACTGGTGTGCACACATAGTTCAGTTCTGCCAAAGTAAGACTACAACTGACCGGTTCTCAGCATAGCTTGTTTTAAAATAGATAGATTGAAAAAAAAAAATGGAAGTTGTTGATAATAGAATCAAAACCGGTATTCCCGGGCACGATTCCAGTTTCCCCTTTCCAGAACTTGTCTAGGTCTATCCTTACATATATGCCCTCTTCGAGCTTGTTTCATTAAAAGCTTGTTTTTGTTTTTATTGATAATAAATCATTGTTTTTTAGATAATAAAATCACACCTTTGTGATCAACAATGGTGACCACCACTTTCAGTGCTACTGCTACCATTCACAATAATCATCAACATTGGTGCCGCCCACATCCATCCCTAATTACCATTGGGCTATCACAGCAGACATATAACAACTTTAACAGTCACTTCCCCCATCATTGGCAACAACGACAACTGCAACCTCAATGCCGCATTGGACCTTGTGTAGTTAATAATGTTGCTTTTCGTATATCTTCTAAACCTATTAATCTATTATAGTATCTACTCACGATAATGTCAACATACTTGATTAAGATGAATTTGAACTTGCGACCTCTTATTTGGAAGATCAACAGTGAAATAATCAGACCAAAAAATACTTGACAATAATGTTTTCAAAACTAGACATTGTAAATTACATAATGGAAAACTTGGAAAAAGAACTCAAAGTGAGAAATAAAATTGAAAAACTTAAATAAACGCACTTAAAGTGTGACACGCCCCAACCGTATCGATTTTAATCAAGTTCATATGTTTTTCATTTGTTAATCGTTATAAAGATGGTCATTGTTTTTGTCATCTTTTAGATTGTTTGAGAGAGAGTTAACATGCCATATTTCAAATCGTCATATCAACTAAAAAATTGATGAATAAGAATGTGAGTTGCATGTGTTCAAATAATGCTTGGTGTTGATTTAGAAGGGTTCCAATACTTCAAACAACTTATTATAATTTCTCTCTCTCATTGTCTTGTATTATCCGGTCTCAAGTTGACCAAAGTTAGAATCGAAACGCTTGTCCCTATCAAGTTCGGTCAATGGCTAGTTTGATCATTCCCCCCCCCCCCCCTTCTATTGGTTGGCCCTCCGCAACGGCTCTGTAGAGCCTATCACTTCGATTTATAAATATGTATCATACATCTCATTTTTCCCAAACTTACAACTATCTAAATATCTCATTTTTCTGTACAAATCAATGAAATCATACCATCTTCTTATTCAGCATTCATATTAGTTTATATTCATATTATTTAATATATGCATATTATCATATACTTGTAATCATATAAAAAGTAGAAATTTGTACTACTATTATAGTTATATCACGTAACCGTAAGAAACAAGCTCCTAATTTTTCTACTTCTCGGAGTCTTAGAAGACGCCCCGTAAGATCAACATTTTCGTCTCGAGCCTGACAAACAAATGAAGCTTTCAGGGCAAGGGTTTATGCTAGAGATGTAATTACCAATGGAGAAATGGAGTTGCTTTGGTCACAACACTATGGGTGGTTTCTACCATAAGAGACCATTCCCAAAATTCAAGTACATCATTTTTACTTTCTTAATCTATGCCTTAGGTCAGTTAAAAAAAAAACTACTACGTATGTGTTAAGGTCAAATCAAATATAATGCAGTAATTTAGAGAGAAATGGAGGGTGATCAGGGTGATATAGTCAAGGGCATAGTTAGAGGGGGGCAACCTAGGCCCTGGCTCACCCCTACTTTCAATTTTGTTTAAATTATTAACATAAAAAAACCGTGTAATTTTTTTCAAAACTATTTTTTGTACCAACCCACCCTAATATACTGCCCTACCTCCCCCACTGGATGTAGTAAAGGGTATTCTCAAAGTCCAATTGATTCCCAAAACCAGTCAAACAATGAAATTGATCTATTTTAATGAATTTCCCATGCCATCTAATCTCAAACTCCCATTCTACTTAGAAAACGCCTCGGCTAAGGAAATAAGTTTTCTAATTCGCGTTTCTTCTCGGCATCATAAATAAATCTCAACTACACAATTTCAAACATTTTTCTTGTGAGAATCAAAGCTCAGCAAACTGATTTGAAATGGGTGGGGAGGTCGATTTACTCTCACCCAAACAAAGCACAAATTTCATTTCAATGACCTTTGTTCAGTGCGAAAAAATTAATGCCAAGATAACCATGGGCATAAGAACAATCTTCATACCTCAACAAATTCCCAACACAAATCAACATTCTCATCCGTGTACATAAACTGATATACACAAACAATATGGAACAACAAGCTTATATACTGTAGAGATGAGGAAATGATCCTAGCAGTCAGATGAATTCTTTATATCTTTAAGGTAACATGAAACACTTAACGAAAATATACCTCCAAAGAAAAATGCCTATACAAGTGAACCACTGTTGTTAGATATGCAAAGCAAAAGGTAACAAAGAGCTCAATGAGCACTGACGAGGAAAGGATGCTGGCAAACGCTGCACTCTATGGTTTCTGACCCAGTAGCTGGAACTTGAACCTGTATATCCACAGTAAGTAGCAAATAAGTGTGATTCTTGAAGTTCTAATGGAAAAGCATTTCCATATCACAGTACAATATTAACAGTTATGTGTATAAACAAATAAGTCTAGCTATGGGTAGCTGACCTGCAGATGCACTGTGCAAATAGGGCAGGCAACCTCTCTCATCTTCCCAGAATGATCGGAACTCCTGCCTGAGAACAGTTTCAGTTATTTTACTATTTTAGGCTTTTTAGCATATTAAAATTATAAAGCTAATTGGTAAGTATATCATTCCAATGTTGCATATTATTATTTCTGAAATTAAAGATCTTATCATACAGTCATTGTCAAGACAGTAACCCAGCAGCAATTAGCTGGAAATTACATTATGACGGAATCAACAGAAAGATGGTTTCTACCTATTGCCCTGCGATTCTTACTCATCTCCTCCTGTTTTGATGCAATAAACTGAATCAGTTCAAGTTGAAGTGCATGTAAATAGCCCAATGTTGACATACATGCAACATATATGATATATAGGCAAGACACATCAATTGAAAAAGCATCATAGTAAAGTACAATCATGGATAAGTCTGCTTAGGGCAACACTACTTTTGGTTTCTATTAGGAGTTAGGAAAGATGCAAAAATCAGGAAAATCCAGACCTATTCTACTTCACTTTTCTGTTTGTCGAATGCATGACTTTTGAGTTTTTATTGCAAAGCAGTAGGTGTAATCATCACGGATTAAACAAGAGGCACTAGATGTCTGAAGTACTCCTTCCCCGTAGTTCCCTTCTATAAACATCCAGTTACATAATAAGCGCATTATCCCACTGAAATTCTTTTCACCAATATTCCAGTCATATTGATCTCGAAGATGGGGTGTGTTTTTTCACTTCGAGTCAGTGTTTTCACTTAACAACTTATCATCCAACATAGAATGCATGCTTCTTAAATGTAAAAGGGGGGGGGGGGATCCATGATGCATTAGTATGGGTTAAAGTGTTACACTGTATCATCATTGTTTATAAATTCTACAAAAACATAAATTTACTTTAAGCTTTCTGGCAAGATCCTCATGGCTCTGCAATCCACTAACCCTTTGAGAAGCTATATTGACATGGCTTAGCCTCTGAGTCACCTCTGCCTGCAAGATTTCAGCAAACCTCAACTATTTAAATGACTAACAAGTCAAGAAAATAAAATAAAAACTTCTAAATTAACAATTTAATGATTGCCAGCCAGGAGAAGCCAAAACAAACAAGGAATGCTATAGTAGTAAAATGTCTTAAAAGACAGAAAATGCCTTTACATCCCAATAGTGGTCTAAAAGAGATGATTCAATCTCCATTGTACATACCATGCACTGATCACAAACTCGAACTGGTTGAGCATTATCATCTTCAGTTAGAGCAATTCTACCTTGTGTGCACTTGTCGCAGAAGATATCCCCACAGTTCCTGCAGTGATGCTGTTCACGTACACTTGGAAGTATGAGACAGAAGTGTTCAGATAGAGAACATTGAATTGTTCTTGCATATGATAATTACATTGAGTAATGCTCACCCTTCTCACAAAGGCATTAAAGTCAGTCCTACAATTAGTGCACTTGGTGACTGATTCATCAGGAACCTATTGACATTAAATGATTTAAAGAGTTAGCCATGCATACAATAAAAAATAAATAAAAAAGAATCTAGCACAAACAATACCGTAAATAATTACTCCGTCCGTCCCGTTGAAGGGTTCCAACTTTCCTTATTTGGGTGTCCCATTTAAAGGTTCTCATTCCATTTTAGGAAATAATTTACTCTCTTTAATTACACCTTTACTCAAATTTCTCTTTCCTATTCACTACATGTCAAGTCTCAAAATTTCCCCTCCCCCAACTTATCTCTCTTTAATTACTTTCACTTTATATGTTTACTTTTTCTAAATTTTCTATTTCCTGTATTTTTTACCCAAATTACATTATTTAACCACTTGCCGAAAAAATCGTGTTATTTACCGACGGGAACCTTTCAACGGGACGGAGGGAGTATTATGGAAAACATAATCAAGGAAAATGATGAAATCAATAAATTGGTCAAGATCGTACCCAATGATCTTTCTCTTCATTGGGTGGCTTCACCAATCTCATCCAATCAGCAAGACCCTTCTTCTTTTCTGCAAGTTGCTCAGATCCACCTTTAATAAGATCTGAAGTTTCAGCCATTTCCTTGACCTGCACATGGAAAAGTGGAAAGCATCCACCAGGCACCAGCTATTGTAAGAAAAATGAGAAATAGTCCATATTTTAATTAAACATATAAAAGGAGAAGATTAAACCCAAAACAAATAAAATAGAGCACATGACTACATGAGAGTACGTAGAAACACGCAGTAGGACGCTAATTTCTATTATTATTGGTTAATAGTGAATTAGTAAGGGAAAAAACTGAAATGCAGCATCTAAATATTGGCACTAATTAATCAAATGGGATTACATTTAATGAGGAAAAAAGTGACATATACACATGCCCATAAGCATGCATGAAATATTGGCAGAAACAATTAGATGCTGAGGAAGAACAGAGATCTAGTTTAGATATGTCCAACATTTACTTGCCCTAAATCAGAAAATAGGAAATGTGTTAACCTGAATACTTGCTGCTGTCACTGCATCCAAGATGTTATTGGTGGTGTAGCTATTCGATTTAAGCCTTATCCGTTTAAGTTCAACATCAAGTGAGCTTTTTGCCCAAAATGCAAATATATATGAGTCCAATACCTAAAACATGAAGTGCAAATATCATCTTAGTGGCATGCGGCCATGCAGGGAAATTGAAATTGTGATTTAACAAAACCTGGGCTCCAATTTACCTCCCATCTTGCCATGTTCTCAAGTGGATATATTTTTAGAGATCGACTTGAAGCAGGTTCGAGTATTCGAATTCCATCCAATCCAATCTGAAACAAAGTTAACAAGTGAATGGTGAAATTCAAGATTATCCCATAAAAAAAGATACCATTTTTAAACCATGAAGGATTCAGAGATTTCAATAAGATTCAAACCTCTAGTTTTTCAACCAAATGCACAATATGAAAATATCACTAACTCGTTATTACAACCAGTGCTCTAAAAGCTATCCATTCGCTTAGGCACTAAGAGGTGGTCGGGCAGAATTCAGGCATATTCAACCCGAACTAATGGCCAGCAGATAATAAGTTCACATAGGGGGCGTTCTAGGCGGCCTAACCGATCGGGTGCTAGTCAGTCTTTTCCGGTTTTCATCTCAGCCTCATTTTGTTTATATAATGTTTTCACCATTCTTACAGTAAACATAGCTTGTAAAAGTATACAATCTCCTTCAATGACTAAAGAACACAAGGCTTCCATTCTTTTTTATTTTTTATTTATTATTTAATTATATTCTTTTGCAATAAAAACAATACTCGTAGGAAGAACATGATCTTCTTATCACCATACAGATGCTAAATCTCATTAACTTTTTTATACGTCGTAAAAGCCCTAAGAAGATTCAGAATCTATTAATTTCCGGGCAGAATTTCATTTATGAACAAAACTATAATAAAGAACATCTTCTAAAAAGAGAGGGAAGCATGGGTGGCTAGGAGGCGGGCCACTGCCAGACTGGCCCTTGCACATGTTTAGAACATTGAATATTACTACAAACCTGACAAAGCACGTCCATGTCTGTTTGGCCATAGCCTTCTGATAAAAGCTTGACTCGAAACTTAAGCACACCACTCTTGGCATCCTCATGCTCATCAACCTTAGGCGCTGCTTTGACAATTTTAGGAAAACTCCCGGAGCCCTTGAGTTCCTTCCCACCTGGAAGGTTAATTGGCCGTCCATAGTCATCAAATAACACTTCACTGGAAGCATCAGGTCTACTACGGCCACTTCCACCATAAATGTCGAGTTTCCCTCCATATTTATAAACACCACTATCATTCAACCCACCATATCCGCCAAAATTCACATTGCTCTCGAAAGAATTCTCGAAGTTCGTTCCTCTGGAGCTTTCATGCGAGCTTGCCAGATAAGGAGCTGATGAAAGAGAATCAGAATTAGAATTCTGGTTCTGAAGACTGTAATTAGGAGCTGCCGGCGTATGATCATAACTCAAACCCAGCTGATTTTGATGTTGATCGAAGGCATAATAGGCCGGTGGTTGCTGAGCCTCGAGGTGAGGGAAGGTGTTCGGATACAGAGGGACTTGACTAGGGACATGATCTGAATTCTGGTGATACAGAGGATAATTAGAGGAATTATTGGAGTAATCAGAAGAAGAGTAACCGGATGAAACCGGCGGAGCCGATGCGTAGGGTGTGGTGGCAGGGGCGTATTGAGGATCGCTTGGCGCAGAGGTCGGGTTAGGGTTTTGAAACTGGGGAGGATAATAGTACTGTGGACCATAAGAAGATCCTCCGACGTCGCCGCGTTGCATATTGTATCTTGTCCGAACAGATTTGCCGAAAATATATCTGCTTCTGAAGGGATTCGATCAAGTTATTATACAAAGTGTAGTATTATCTAAGATGCTAAGGTCTGATTATTTTGGGTTAAAGCCAAATATGGAAGAAGGTACCTTCTGGTTCAGCAATGTTGAAAATGGAAGAAAGGCACAATTAAAGGGAAAATTGGTGGTCGCTTGGAATCGCGCAGAGATTACCCGACAAGGGTAGTTGATCATATACGGAGCCAATTATGAGTATCTCAACGCTTAAATAATAAATTCATGCTCACGCTACCTTATTAGAAAAAAGAAATTAGAAAAAAGAAAATAAAAACTAGTCTTACGTTTTTCGAGAGTTTTTTTTAGCTAAATTCCTGTAAATAATCCATATTTCTTGGGGGTTTTGCAATAAATATTACCGAGTACTAAAAGGGGATAATTGACAAAAAAAAGTGACCATTTTTAAAAAATTCCAGAAATGTGACTAGTAATTTTTATGCTTGCAAAATTATCCCTGATTTGCAGTTACATTATCTTATAGTTACATGACCGGCCACGGTGACACCCAATACAGTGACATCCGCCGCAGTGACACCACCCGCCACCGGCCAGGGATCGCCGCCTACCGGTGACCGTCGCCGGTCACGGTGACACTTACACAGTGTCATGCACTGGACCTACCGGACACGTCAACAACCCGCCATACAGTACGAATAGTCAACCGCAGTCCAACTTTTCCATACTATACTAGGCGTCTTGAATACCATTCACACATAGTACATCCATAAACAAACATAATGTAAAATATTCATTTAAAGCAGCGGAAGTAATAAAACAAGTGTTCAAGCCACACTTGGCAAACATGGGCATACAAGCCCCCAAATAATTAATCGGAAAAATGGTATCCATGAGCATTAATGTAAATGTTTTAAAACAGAAACGGAGGAAACACGAACCACATGTTCCTTCCTTGATCCTCCCGAAGCAACGGGCACTAGTAGCAAGCTCAACTTCTACCTGAAACTGTGAGGTGGCCTCCCCCGTGAAGGGGAGGTCAGTACTTGGAAGCATTTGACAAGTACAATGACAACTATACTAAGTATAATCAATGTTTCAATTTCTAAGACCCTCAAATAGAGTGACATTATATTATAGGCCATAACCCTTGGTTACCCTCTTTGAAAATATACTTACTTTATATATAAAGTCAAGTAGTCGGCCCGTAGGCCCATGTTTACTTTAAAAACGTCCAACCCTTTCCCCGTGGCCTCAAGCCACGCTTCTCTATATTACTTCGTCATGCTAGAGGCTTCCTCTAGTCATGTTCCATCGTGCTAGAGGCTTTCTCTAGTCACTCCACTCGGTGTTAGAGGCTTCCTTTAATCACCTTACATACGTTGTGCTAGAGGTTTCCTCTAGTCACCCTACGTTATGCTAAAGGCTTCCTCTAGTCATCCTACATTATGCTAGAGGCTTACTCTAGTCACCCTACGTTATGCTAGAGGCTTCCTCTAGTCATTCCACATTATGCTAGAGGCTTACTCTAGTCAACCTACGTTATGCTAGAGGCTTCCTCTAGTCATTCCACATTATGCTAGAGGTTTCCTCTAGTCATCCTACATTATGCTAGAGGCTTACTCTAGTCAACATACGTTATGCTAGAGGCTTCCTCTAGTCATTCCACATTATGCTAGAGGTTTCCTCTAGTCATCCTACATTATGCTAGAGGCTTACTCTAGTCACGCTAATAGATCACCAAGAAAATTTTATGCCTAGAGTCCCTTATTATGAGTAGCCTTGGTGGCCTACTCCCAACATAACCCAACGTTTACACATTTCTACTTTAAAGTATCCCATAAGACTACTTTAGGTTCATCCTACACAATCCAAGCCCTTAGGATTTGTTCTATCACTTTTCATACTAACATTCCGACTAGTATTTCAATACTAGTCAATTAATCTTAGGACGACCAAATCCCAAATGCATAGTCATGACGTTCATTCCAATTGATTTTCCAATCCAAATACAATTTAATCACAATAGCAATAATATCACTTTTATCCATTCATGAATTCTCTACATGAAGTAAAAGTATATTTTATCTCAATATTCATAGTTAATTTGGCTATCATGCCTTCATATTCATATCACATAATCATACACAATTTATCTCATAATGTTGTATATCATACTTCACTTACTTATACATCATTCTTTTCATATAGACATTATTAATCATTTAATAATCCATGAAAAACTCATTTGATAATCTTAGGTAAGCTTATGAAATTAACCCAACAATTATAAGCAATATAGTCAGTCATCATCACATTATGAAGTGCTGCAATAGTTGCCTTTGTTAAGTCCTTCGATCAATCCCCGTTCTAAACCGATTGGAGATGAAAATCCTGGACAGCAGATGAAAGCCGGCCGGCTTTTGCAAAAGGTGGGCGGCTTTCGTGGTCTGCAGCTACGAACAGCTCCCTTTAAGTGGCGGTTCCCGGCGGTTTCAAGTCCTATCGATTCCACGACTCTTCTAAGTTAAATATCATCACTTTATAACATTATTCTACACTTTTGAACGTGTAGAACTTCATGTTTAATCCACCATATGATTTCTTAAAAATCATACAAAATAATACTAGTTAAAGAAATACTAGTTGGGTTCTTACCTCAACCTCAAGCTTTTCCTCTTGGATTTTCCTCTTTTCTTGGTTCCTCCAACTTGAGTTTAGATGATAAGCTTTCTTGGAGTTCTTTCTCCCTCTTGTTTGGTCGAATGGTTGATAGAGGATGGGGGAGGATTCCCTTTCACTCAACACAAATAATTGTGTAGGAAAAGACATAGGTGTGAGTTTTGTCTCGGTGAGACCTCTCACCCACTATGCACACCCCATGTTACTCTCCTTGTCCCTTCCTCACTTATTTGAGGCTAAGGGGCTAGTAAAATATCCCCAAGTGGGTGTTGAAAGTCCCTCCCAATCATTCCTGCTATTTTTGGCAGGTTGGGTCAAAATAGCACTAGGGTTGTTCAAACATTTTTATCAACCTTAGTTGACACTTTATTGGGCTTCTATAATTATTACGATGATCCAACTAAATATTTGGTAGCTCATTCTCATTATTATGGGCCCGTTAAATAATTTAATTAATCACGCGAAATTAAATATACCAATCTGTTACACGATTTTATTCGCTAGGAAATTCAAATACATATCAAATTTCACATTCAAGTACATCCGGGTGCGGTGTCACACACACTGACACCTCAATAGTGATACTTCCACAGTGACACTAGTCACAACAACTCCGATCACAATTACACCATCTACAGTTACTCCGGCCACCACCGGCCTACACCACCACCAATCACCGACCTCAAACTCAATCCTCAACCCGAACCCCCAAAATTACTACCACCGTGACTTAGACACCGCCCCCATCCCACCACCACCACCCCTTCCCACCGGAACCGCGGCTTCACCCCCGGTGACACCACTACTGCCTTTGGCCCCTCCCACCCCAACCCTCCTCTCCAGCCCCCATCCCCATATCTCCGCCACATATCCCTATCTCCCAGTCTCATCACCCCAGCTTCCTTCCCCTTCCCCAGCCCCTGTAACCGAAATCCCCGCACCACCACCGCCCGCTACTCCCCAACCGCCGCCGCAGCAGCATCATCGCGGATCTGGAACTTCGCCATAGAGACGAAGGACATAATGAGAAGAAAAAGAAACAGCACAACGCCTAGGGCCAGGGCAACGACGACGGCGAAGACCACGGTGAGGAAGAGGGCAAAGGTGGTTGCAAAGGAGAAGGCGGCAACGGCGGCCAGGGAAGCTGAGGCGGCGACGATTTGTTGCTCTGTTGGTGGTGGAGCTCGATGCCGCTGCGTGGTTGTGCTCCGCTTCTCAATCGAAGGCAGCCGCTGGGTTCTAAGTTTGAGCGCATCAAATGTGGAGGATGAATTAGGGCTCAAGCACATTAAAGTCCAATCACCTATTTTCAGTTACTTTTTTGAGGTAAGTTCTACGTCAACCAAAATTTTACTTTCCTCGTAAATCTATATATGATTATTTATTTGAAATTATTTGAGTAATTTGTGAGATTTCTAGCATTCACATTTATACTTCGTATTTGAGTATTTAGAATTATTTATGGATTGTTATTGAGGATTATATTTGAGATTTGAGTATTGAATATTGCTTGATATTTTTGAGTATTTGAAGTTATGTATGAATCATTACTGGGATTAAGATTTGAGCTATTTATGAAGTATTCTATATTTTGATCATGTTGGGAAATTTCGAGTTTAAAGTTTAAAGGATCAATTGACTCTTATTTTGGAAATTTATGTCTATGTATAATATGAGATTCTGAAAGCTATTAGAGATCAAGATATTTTGAACTACATGGTGAAATTGTGTTTTGAAATCCAAGGATAATAATCCTTATTCTAAAACTATATCTATGAATAATAGATATACAATTTTTGAAAAGTAATCAAGATAAAAAGAAGCTTTCATGTAAGGGCATCGCGGGAGAAATCCGCGGTGTCGGTGTTCTCCACGACCTTGACTATGGAGAGTGATTAGGGCTGCTACTACTTGTTTACTCATAAAGAGTTGGATGTTGGTGTCTCCACGACCTTGACTGTGGATGTTGGTGTCTCCACGACCTTGACTGTGGATGTTGGTGTCTCTACGACCTTGACTGTGGATGTTGGTGTTTCCACAACCTTGACTGTGGATGTTGGCGGTAAAATTCGGGCAAAAGACCCTGTTATTCAGTAGTAGCAGTAACCTAGTCACTTCTACAGGGTAATCCCTTTTGGTGGAGTAGGGAGACGTTGACGTCCGAACTACTTGGGCTTCTTACTATCCGTAGGGCTAAAATCCCTTTCAGGGGGCCGGTGTGCACACTTAAGGTAGAGGTTCAGTTTTCTCAGGTTAGAAGTGGTACCGGCAAAAGTCCCGGAGTGGCCGTACATAACAACGGACCATCGGGCTCAATAAAATGTTGAGCACCGCCCTTCAAATGTATTAGGAGTTTAATACAATTATATTTCAAGACATTACTAGAATACAAATTATATTCGGATTGAGGTTTTGAGGAGAATTATATTTGTCTGGATTGGATTTGTATTGTTGGATTATTGGATTGCATTATATTTGGATTGAATTTGAGTTGGATTGAATTACCAAATTATTTGTGGAATTTCAAAGTACAAATACTTTTGGATTTAATTCGGTTTGATTATGCTAAAATTGATTATGAGTA